AGTACTATGTTAAATAACAGTGGTGAGAGACCCCTGTCTTATTCCTGGCCATAGAGGAAAAATTCTCAGTTTTTCCCCATTGAGGATGATATTAGCTGTGTTTTTTTCATAGGTGGACTTTATTATGTTTAGGTGTGTTCCCTGTAAACATACTTTGTTAAGGGTTTTCATCATGAATCGGTGTTGTGCTTTGTCAAATGCTTTTTCTGAATCTGCTTAGAATGATCATATGATTCTTATCCTCTCTTACTGATATGATGTATAAATGAATAAATCCCATTTAGTCTTGGTGAATGATTCTGTTAATATACTATTGGAACTGGTTTGCAATAAAAAAAAAAAAATTTTTTTTAATTTACATCCAAGTTAGTTAGCATATAGTGCAACAATGATTTCAGAAGTAGATTTCGTAATGCTCCTTACTCATTTAGCCCAGCCTCATCCCACAACCCGTCCAGCAATCCTTTATTTGTTCTCTATGTTCAAGAATCTCTTACATTTTGTCCCCTTCCCTGTTTTTATATTCTTTTTGTTTCCCTTCCCTTATGTACATTTGTTTTGTATTTTAAAGTCCTCATATGAGTGAAGTCATATGATATTTGTCTTTCTCTAATTTCGCTTAGCATAATAATAATACCCTCTAGTTCCATCCATGTAGTTGCAAATGGCAAGATTTCATTCTTTTTGATTGCTTAGTAATACTCCATTGTGTGTGTGTGTGTGTGTGTGTGTGTATACACATACACATTTTCTTTATCCATTCATCCATCTATGGACATTTGGACTCTTTCCATACTTTGGCTATTGTTGGTAGCGCTGCTGTAAACATTGGGTGCATGTGCCCCTTCCAAACAACACACCTGTATCCATTGGATAAATACCTAGTAGTGTAATCGCTGGGTCATAAGGTAATTCTATTTTTAATTTTTTGAGGAACCTTCATACTGTTTTCCAGAGTGGCTGCATCAGTTTGCATCCCCACCAGCGGTGCAAATAGATCCTCTTTCTCTGCATCCTCACCAACCTCTGAGCCTGAGTTGTTAATGTTAGCCATTCTTTTTTTTTTTTTTTTTAATTTATTTCCGAGAGAGAGAGAGACAGCGTGAGCAGGGGAGGGTCAGAGAGAGAGGGAGATACAGAATCTGAAGCAGGCTCTAGCCTCTGAGCTAGCTGTCAGCACAGAGCCTGACGTAGGGCTCGAACCCACGAACCGTGAGATCATGACCTGAGCCAAAGTCAAACACTTAACTGACTGAGCCACCCAGGCACCCCAGTGTTAGCCATTCTGACGGGTGTGAGAAGGTATCCCATTGCGGTTTTGACTTGTAGTTCCCTGATGATGAGTGATGTTGAGCATTTCTTCATGTGTCAGTCGGCCATCTGGATGTCTTCTTTGGAGAAATGTTTATTCGTGTGTTTTTCCCATTTGTTCACCAGGTTATTTTTTGGGTGATGAGTTTGTTAAGTTCTTTATAGTTTGGATAGTGGCCTTTTATCTGATACGTCATTTGCAGATATCTTCTCCCATTCCATTGGTTGCCTTTTAGTTTTGCTGATTGTTTCCTCTGCTGTGCAGAAGCTTTTTATCTTGATGAGGTCTCAGTAGTTCATTGTTGCTTTCCTTTCTCTTACCTCTGGGAGATGTGTTGAGTAAGAAGTTGCTGTGACCAAGATCAAAGAGATATTTGCCTGCTTTCTTCTCTGAGATTTTGATGACTTCCTGTCTTACATTTAGGGCTTTCATCCATTTTGAGTTTATTTTTGTGTATGGTGTAAGAAAGTGGTCCCAGGTTCTTTTTTCTGCATGCCGCTGTCCAGTTTTCCCAGCACCACTTGCTGAAGAGACTGTCTTTATTCCATTGGATATTCTTTCCTGCTTTGTCAAAGATGGGTTGGCCATACATTTGTGGGCCCATTTCTGGGTTCTTTATTCTGTTCCATTGATCTGAGTGTCTATTTTTGTGCCAGAACCATTATGTGTTAATGATTGCAGCTTTGTAATACATCTCTAAGTCCGAGGTTGTGAAGCCTCCAGCTTTGTTTTTCTTTTTTAAGATTGCTTTGGCTATTCAGGGTCTTTTCTGGTTCTATACAAATTTTAGGATTGTTTGTTCTAGTTCTGTGAAGAATGCTGTTGTTATTTTGATAGAGATTTCTGGTTTGCTAGTATTTTATTAGAAAATTTTGCATCTCTGTTCATCAGGGCTATTGGCTTGTCATTCTCTTATTTGCTGGTATCTTTATCTGGTTTTGGTATCATGGTAATGTTGTCCTAGTAGAATGAATTTGGAAGCTTTCCTTCCATTTCTATTGTTGGCATAGTTTAAGAAGGATAGATGTTAAATCTTTTTTAAATGTTTAGTAGAATTCGTTTGTGAAGCCATCTGGCCCTGTACTTTTGTTTGTTGGCAGTTTTTGATTATGGAGTCAGTTTCTTTCCTGGTTATTGCTTTGTTCAACTTTTCTATTTGTTTCTGTTTCAGTTTTGGTAGTTTATATGTTTCTAGGAATTTATCCATTTCTTTTAGGTTGTGTGTTTTGTTGGCTTATACTCTTTCATAGTATTCTCTTATAATTGTTTGTATTTCTCTTTTGGTGTTTGTTATTTCTCCTCTCCTTTGTGATTTTATTTATTTAGGTCCTTTTAATTTTCTTTTTGGTAAGTCTGGCTAGAGGTTTATTAATTTTATAATATTTTCAAAGAACCAACTCCTGGTTTTATTTATGTAGTCTATTGTTTTTGTTTGTTTTTAGTTTCTATATTATTTATTCTTGCTCTAATCTTGATTATTTCCTTCTTTTTGCTGGTTTTGGGTTTTGGCTGTTTTTGTTTGTTTGGTTGTTTTTTTTTCCTCCTAGCTCCTTTAGGTATAAGGTTAGGTGGGGTCTATTTGAGATCCTTTTTGCTTTTTGAGGTAGGCCTGTATTGCTATACATTTCTCTCTCAGGACTGCTTCTGCTGCATCCCAAAGGGTTTGGACCATTGTGTTTTCATTTTCATTTGTTTCCATGTATTTTTTTTATGAAATAACTTGAAAATTTAATTCCAATTTATCATATGTTTAAGAAATATGCATCTTATTCTTGACAGTTGTATTAAATTTCACAACCACAAGAACAAGTATTTAGACTTAACCACTGTGTTTACTATTTGGCTTATAGCATATCCTTTCTTTTTTCAGGCATCTTTGCCTTAATTTCCTTATGGTTTGGCTTAATGATCCTGAGCCATTTCACCCTCTACCTTTGCTTCTGATTCCTTGCGTTTTTGAAAATGACTTTTTTGTCTATACCAGATAAGGATAGTTTGTGAATTGAATTCTTTGTAGAATTGTTGTCTTGTAATTTTCTTTTATAATTTGATCTTTATTCCATTATCTTGTAGCATTTAACATTATGGATGAAGAGTTGATAGTTACTTTCTTTCTTCTGTAGATAATATATATTATTTACTTGCTCCCATCTGTTTATATCACATGCTTACTTCCTCCGTCTCTGATCCAGTATTTGTGAGGAATTGTGTGTGTGTGTGTGTGTGTGTGTGTGTGTGTGTGTGTGTGTGTGTGTGTGAATTTTGAGACTGAGGAATTAGGGGTTTTTTAGGTATGAGTCTTTATGCTTCATAATCTCCTCTCTCCTAAGGCTACTGGATAAGCCTTATGTGGAAATTCGCTGGGAGAATTTTCTTATATTATTGTTATATTGTTAATACTTTGCTCTACTTTTGCTCTTTCTTTCTGGAAGTACTCATATATGCACATTAGGTTCTCTAGAGTTAATTGTCCTTGTATCTTTTTTCCCTTATAACTTGCATCTATTTACCCTCTTTTCCTAAGTAGAGAGAATTCTCAGATTAACTGTTGAATTAACTGATTTGGATACTTTCTCTTCTGTTCACTGTGTATGCATATTTCTGGACACATAGTTTTCATTTACAAGTTTGTCTTGTTCTTGAACTGTTCTTTTTACATGAGAATCTGTTATGTTTTAGTAATGTAATGACCTCTTGAATCTCACTGACAGTAGGAATTAATTTTTATAAATGATGACTTTGCTGTTTTCTGTGTTATATTTTGTTTTCGTGCTGGACAGTCAGTCTAAGTGGCCCCACTTTTGAGTTCTTAGATTTTTTTCATTGTTTGGCAACTTTTTCTTGATTAATCATATTTTTTTAAGCATTTATCTTAGGGTAGTATATTAGTTTGCTAGGGCTGCCATAACAAAGTTCCACAGGCCAGGTGATTTAATGCCTTCTTTTTTCTTTTTTAATTTTTAAAAAAATTTTTAAAATGTTTTTTATTTATGTCTAGGAGAGAGAGAGAGACAGCGTGAGCAGGGAAGGGTCAGAGAGAGAGGGAGTCACAGACTCTGAAACAGGCCCCAGGCTCTGAGCTGGCAGTCAGCACAGAGCCCGACGCGGGGCTCGAACCCACGAACCGTAAGATCATGACCTAAGCGAAAGTCGGATGCTTAACCGACTAAGCCACCCAGGCGCCCCCACAGGCCAGGTGGTTTAAACAACAGAAATTTATTTTTTCAGAGTTCAAGAGAATTGAAGTTTGAGACCAAGGTGTTACAATGTTTGGTTTCTTCCGGAGCATCTGTTCTTGGCTTGCAAATGGTTGCCTTCTTACTTTGTCTTCATATCGTATTTTCTCTTTATGCACTCATCTTTTATATCTCTTTGTATTTCCACTTTTCTTTTTCTTATAAGAACATCTATCAGATTGAATTAGGGCCCAAGTGAACTTCAAGTGTCTGTCTCTAATGCTGTCATGTTCTGAGGTGCGAGGGGTTAGGGCTTCAGCATACGAATTGGGAGAGGACCCACGTGACCCGTTATCAGGTAGCATGATTGTATGGGTCTTTTCTTCTCTCCTTTACTGGGTTTTCTTCATTGTGCCACGTGACGGTGTATCGTGGCACAATGGCATATGGGGGTGCGAGTCATTGAACCTTTTTTAATTTCAGATATCTTGTTTAATTTCTCTTCTTTGCAGTCAATGGAAATATTTCAGTCAAAATTAGAAGAGGCTGAAAGAACTGCATCCACAAGAGAAGACTTTAAACGAGAACGGTGGAGGAAACCAGCATGTTCAGATAAAGCACAAAGTAGTCAAGAAAGTAGAAAACCAGACTTGGTAAAAGATAATAAAAGTTCAAGGGATAGATATAGTTCAACAAGTATTACAGACAGTACCAATAAAGAGAAGTGTAGTGGTGATGAAAAAGATAATAGGTCTGGGTCTTCAGAAACATACAGAAGACAATCCAATCCAAGGCACAATCAAGAGTTTTCCTCTCTCGGAAATTTGAAACCTAAATTTTTAAGACCCTCTGATGATGAAGAACTGTCATTTCATAGCAGGGTCAGAAATTTTGAGCCATCTAGTTCATCTTCAGTACCAGTCACTCAGGATTCTGTGCATCGTGGTTTCCGAAAACCCACTGAAAACAGCGAGGAAAGTTCATCATCATGGAGCCGATCTGATGGGAAAGAAGGAGACAGGAAACATTCAGATCGACGGCCAGTAGACACCAGTGGCAGTGGGGACTGTGGATACATTTCCGAAGACACAAGAGAGAAATCACGGAACGAAAGCCTGGGAGATGATTTTGTGGAGAAAGAGCGCGTGCAGGACGCAAAGTCTTCTTCTGCTCGGTATTTTGTCATTTGTTTTTTAAACTGTTAAAGGAATGTTACATTTCAGAAGATTCAAAGAAATTGAGCTGTATTTTTAAGAAATCAGTTATTAATGAGATGTGAGTTATAATCTGTTCCTTAAATTTTGTGGAAGAGATAAGATTTGCACAATTAACAGTAGTTTTGTTTCATGGGTTGCATTTATTTCATTTCACAGTTTCATTTAACAAATGGAAGAACTCTCTAGCTATATTAGCTCAAAATCTGTTGCGTTTTTGCACATTAAAAAAAGGAATGAGTTAATAATTTGAAATGGATATGCTACAGGAGGTATTTTGGTAGATTGTGTTACTGCTGCTGTAATTGCATTCAAAGGAAATCACTTCATTGTTAAGCATAATCATTACTGTAAATATTGCGTGCCTACTGGAGGTCTGAGGGACTCAGGGAAAACACGCTGCCGCAGCCACATATGAAGTGAAAAAGATACACAGAAGATCGTGCAGAGGGAAGCATGAATTGTGGACTGTTTCTGCAGACAAAGAATCCACTTTGGACAGTTGACGGGTTTTAAAAATAATGTTAGAGTTTTAAAAGGGAAATACAAGGTGCCTGGGTCGCTTAGTTGGCTGAGCGTCTAAATCTTGATTTCTGCTCAGGTCATGATCTCAGGGCCGTGAGATCAAGCCCCACTTTGGCGTCTGTGCTGCGTGTGGAACCTGCTTAAGATTCTCTCTCCCTCTGCCTCTCCCCGACCTGCCCCTCCCCCGTCCACTCTCCACCCATCCCCTGACTGCATGCGTACACCTGTGCTCTCTCTCAAAAAAGGGAAATATAGGTAGGTTAGTGGTTGTACCTGTAGTAATTAGGAGTAGCGCTCGCTGCTGTTAGTATTCTTGCACCTGTTTTTGTTTTTGTTGTACGTTCCTGTGGAAAAGTGACATCACTTAGTGTGAACCCTTGGGTTTAAACTCCAGCTTAGGGCACCGGGGAACTGGGGTGTCTGGCTGGAATTAACGCACCCTAATACGTGTCTTCACAAAGGCAGAAGTCTGTGGGCCACGCCTGGGAGCGGTCTGCAGCCTAGTTCCTGTGTGGTCCAGCGGGCAGCTGACGGGCACTAGAGCACTGGTGGCTTCTCCTTGGTCCTGCAGAATGGACCCCGCGAGCGAAGGCCGTGGGTTAGGGAAGTAGCCGCGAGGGCAGCTCCACCCCTCCACGTGCTCTGTTTCCTCCCTCGGGGGAGGGAGCTTGCCAGCTGTACCCCCACATCAGCCAGGGCTCTTTGAGGCCCAGGGGCAGCAAAGTGACAAGGGCTGAGTCAGTAGAACAGGAAACCCACGTTGAGTGGGATCAAACCTAGGAAAAATCGATTTAGCTATAGAGTTGGTCGTATTGGAAATAGCCACAAATGGAAAAGAAGTGTCCAAAGGATGATGAATAGCTTCTACTAGAATGATCATTAGAATATGTTTAAAAATACCACCAAATGAATAGGACACTCAAGGGAGAGGTTTTAGGAAATAATAAAAATCAGTGGTCGCCGTAGTAGGTATAGGCGTTGTGGTTTGGGGTCTTGAGTCTGGCAAATCATTTTTCTTAATCCCATCTGAAGCTGTGGATTGTAAAGCACAGTGTGCAGCTTTCAGTGGGAAGAAGCTGGCCAAACCAGGGCTGAGTGATGGGCGCCCCAGTCACACGGGCCCTGGGTCTACTCAGGGTTTTGTTCCTAGGAAACCAGAGGAGAAGTCTGGTTGTACTGACTGGATAAACAGGACAGGGACTAGGGAAGGTCTCCTGCTGTCCCCGTATATAATTGTCCCGCTTCAGTCCACACACGCTGGAAGGTAATTGTTTCTATCCCCGGCTGGTGGCAGGGGGAGACTCTTACTTCCTTTTACCATCAGGGTTGGCTGTAGGCGCTGACTTCTGTGCGGCTGTATGGGAAGTGGTCTTACACTCAGTATTTCGTCTGTTCTCTAATCGTTTCGTGTTGGTAGGTTGTATTTAAATCGTAAGTTTCTGATAGTAATATAGGTACTCACTGAAAGCTGTGTTTTTTGGTCTGAAGGCCGCACACACACACACACATATGTACATATATGTATTAAATGCTTATTTCTTTCTAGAGAAAGCGAGTGCTCATGAGCGGCACGGGGTTAGGGGTAGGGCAGAGGCATGGAGAGAGAGTCCCAAGCAGGCTCCGCACTGTCGGCACATGAACTGTGAGATCATGACCTGGGCCAGAATCAGGAGTCATGCTCTTAACCGACCAAACCACCCAGGCACCCCATGAAGGCAGTATTTTTGTTAGTATTTTTTTTTAAATTTTTTTTAATGTTTTATTTATTTCTAGGAGAGCGAGAGAGAGAGACAGCGTGAGCAGGGGAGGGCCAGAGAGAGAGGGAGTCACAGACTCTGAAACAGGCTCCAGGCTCTGAGCTGGCAGTCAGCACAGAGCCCGACGCGGGGCTCGAACCCACCAACCGCGAGATCATGACCTAAGCGAAAGTCGGACGCTCAACCGACTAAGCCACCCAGGCGCCCCTTTTGTTAGTATTTTTGTTAGCTGTGTCGTTTTGGTGTTGCAGATGGTTTTAAGCTTCCGTGAATTCCATGATTGACCAGAGAAGAAAAGAACAATGTAGAAATCCTCTACATATATGTGAAAGACAGAAGAGATTCCTGAGCCTGTGTGGGTGGTTTAAGGTCAGAGACCAGGCAGCGCGCTGAGGAATGTCTGTTTCCAGGGACTGAAGAGGTTCAGGGAAGGATTGTGGGAAGATGTTAGTTTGAACATTCTCCTGGGTATATGCTGAATTCTTTATAAAATGCTAGAATTCTAGGGAGCTTTAGAACCAGGAAGTTTTAGAAGTAGGGAAAAGAAATCATAGAACTAATCATAGAACTGGAAGAAATAATTGTCTGTCCTGCATTTTCCACATGCGGAAACTGAAGCGTTGAGGGTGTAGCTCGCGCACGGGTGTGCTGTGAGACTTGCCAGGTTGAGCAAATAAAAAAAAAAAAATAGTAAGTCCCTTGCAGTATGAGGACAGACTGACACTAAAAACCTTTTTTTGTTTTTCAGAAATTCAAATTTGGGTGTCATGCTTTTTATCTGGCAATTGTACGTAACACTTAGTCATTTTATGGGTTTGTGACCTTTTTGGTAGATGATAATATTCTATAAAAAAACTTAATTACATATTTAAGTTATGTAGCTTCACAATGTATGTACTCTTCTGAACCTTGGTGTGTGTGTGTGTGTGTGTGTGTGTGTGTGTGTGTGTGTGTGTGTGTGTGTTTCCCAATCAGTATATCTTAATAAGATCTTTTCCCATCACCCCATATATATGTACTTTTTAAAGGCTCTTTAGTATTCTGTTAAAACTGAGGTATAAACTAGTTGTTCTCGTGGGTCCCCTGGTGATGGACGTCAGGTGATTTCTAGCTTGTCACTCTTACAGAAGTGCAGCAGTAATAGCTTTGGATGTGTTTCTTTGCTGTAAAATAAATTCCAAGCAGTAGAATTAGATTTATATATCTTTTTATGTTAGCCAGTTTATATTACCAGTCAAATATTAGAATGACTTTTCTCTTCCTTGCTACCAGCATTACTGAACTTTTTAATCTTGAACTTTGGTCTTACGCACAGTTGAGAAACAGAATCTTTCCTTGATTTCCATTTCTTTAAGAATAATTAGAGTTTGGCATATCTTTATAAATGTTAGTTTTTATTTTATTTCTGTTACCTGGTCATGTTTTGGCTACTCTTTGAGTTCTCTATAAGGGCTCTTTATAGTTTTCATGTAACATACAGTGTTTACGTCACTTGTAGATTTCCTTCTCTTCTTGTTTCATTTTCCTTTTTCATCCTTACTTTTCATTCATTCTTGCTGTGATCAGATTTCTCATTCTTTTCCTTTGTCTTCTTCAGGCCCTGCATTTCTCTCAAGAAGGTGAAAAGCATCCTCTACAAGGGGTCCCTGCGCTCAAGAGGCTTATGGTTTAAAAAAAAAACTTTTTTTATGTCTTTATTTTGAGAGACAGAGACAGAGAGCGAGCAGAGGAGGGGCAGACAGAGAGGGAGACACAGAATCTGAAAAAGGCTCCAGGCTCTGAGCTGTCAGCACAGAGCCCGACGCGGGGCTCGAACTCACACACCGTGAGATCATGACCTGAGCTGAAGTCAGACACTTAACCAACTGAGCTACCCAGGCGCCCCAACCTTATGCTTATTATTCTTAGAAATAAAATGCATTTGTGGATAATTTTGCTTTGTTGGGAAATATATCAGCTGTGTATTTTCTGGATTCTGAAACCTAGAATATTATGCAATATGAACAAAACTAGTGTGATGTCCCCAATTTAGATTTTATAAAATTCATATCAGGAACTAGCCCATTTTGTATACTGACTTAGCCTTTGGATATAATTCCTGGCGGAGTTTGCTCTGGGCGCCCAGAAGGACCAGAGAAGGATGGCAGCTGCTGAAGGTTTTGAGTATAGTCATGAGATCTTTGGACAAGGAGAAAATTGACAAACAAGCATTGAGAATAATTAGAGGGATGACATCTGTGAGCACTGCCAGCAGGCAAGGAATAATTGCAGTGTACTCAAGGTTTCTGAAATGTCACTGGGATGGAGCTTTTTTAATTAGTTCTTCCTCAAAAGTTTTTAGCCAGAGTCGGGTGTGTGTGCTGCACAGAGAATACGTTTTAATGGGAAAAGAGGATTTGCTTTTTAGAAATTAATTATGAAAAAGACTTCTGCAATAGAGCAGTAATCCTGGAAAATGAGAAATGCTTGTACTTTTTTCTTCTTACAGGATAATTGCAGACGTCATGGTGATGTTTCTTTCTGGACATTTGCTCATTATTGTAAATGTTTAGAGAAAGTAAGGGAGAGTCTGTTCCTTGTGTCTTTGCTGTGGCATTAACCAGATGAAATCATGTGTCCTTTATTCACTGTGTGCCCAGCAACTCATTTTAATGTCTTTATTTGATACCTATGATCTA